ACCTTGTTCCGGGCTCCTATGGTCATTGGGCTATTGCTCAGGCTCGGCTGCTGATTGCTCGCTGCCAAGTCCGAGCAACGTACGAGCCTGAGGCTCATATGTCCTGGCGTTGACGCCCTTCGGCCTTATGGAGACTGCGGTTCCGCCATCCGTATCCGTGAAGTGGCTCTCTACAAGGCTCTGGTATTGTGCCTTCGCTCTGGTCGATTTGGGGCTACGCCTTACGGACTGCACCGTCTTCCTCACCGACTTTGCAAAAGGTGCGCCTGCCTGCCTGACTGTTGCCTTCGGCTGTGCACCTTTGACCGAGCTCCCACTGTGCCTTTTTCGAAAGCTCCTGTCCTTTCTTCAAGTGGGTAGTCTACACGGAGCTTTAAAGTGCGGGGCGGAAGGGGAAAGCTGGGCTAGTCAGTCAGACTGTGTTTGACACTGGGCCGCGTGCTTACTGTCACTAGTGATTTCCTGTTTTCGCATCCAGCTTACGTGGAGCCTGCAGGCTGTGCTGGGCACGGTGCTTGAGGCCTGCAGGCTGTGCTGGGCACGGCGCTGTGGGCCAACATCGGCTACCGAGCAGGTCGGTAGTTCGATGTGCTCATAGCTCCTGGTTTCAGACCTGCGAGGCCCCCTCGCCTAGTAAATTCTCCTTCTGGGCCTGGCCCTGAGAAGTTGCGAGCACCCTCGCTGGGCGATCGGTGTCTTGCTAGGCTTAGTCGCGCGGAGGACCCGCATAGAACTCTGCGGGCCTGGATCTCAGACCACTCTGGCTTGCACTACCGCTGGGCGGTTGGTGATTATCAGGCCCGACCTTCTGGTCCTGGACAGAAGGCCTTTTTCCTTGTTTGCGGGGGTTCTGGAGCACTAGGAACAGTCGCTGGGCGATTGTAACAGTGCCTGCTACAGGAGGAGGGAAGCGACAGGGAGAGTGAGCCGCGATTTCAGCCGCGGGCCTGGCTCTCGACCTGTGCCAAGTGAAAATTGGTAGGCCGACTGCCTTGAGGGCGTTACTGACTGCATCGCGCTTAATCTTGTCGATGTTAGTCATGTGTACTCAGGTGGAGCACCAGGATGTCGCTACCAACGCCTCAATGCAACTTGAGATGAGGCTGTTCGCGACTCGGCGAGACCTCTGTGCTTCGTTCGACTCAAAGCTCTGTCTGCGCCCGAGCCATGGGAAGTGCTGATCGGGGATTTGACTCTTCAGGGCTACTCACCGCCGCCCACTCCTAGATCGATTTCAGAGGGAACCACTGGGGTTCATTGACCTCCGATTTCTGGTTTCCCAGCCCCGAGAGAGCTGCCGGGTGACCGAGACCTTCCACGCCCGGGCATAAAGAGCAAACGAAGGTTTTAGCTTCGCGACAAAGACTGTGATAATCTGGTACCGTTGACTCTGGAAGATGTTTGTACCGAGAAAGCCATCTCGACTTGACGAAGCGGAACCTCCAGCTTGCTGCGTTTTGCCAGGTGGCAAAAAGCCACCTGTGGTGAAAGTTCATATTTCTTCGGAAGGAAGACAAGTCTTATAATTACACTTGATGCGTGCGATCGGAAGGTGCACCGGCTGCGCGAGGGGAACTCCTGGCCAAAGTGTTCGCTTTGCTCGTATCCTTATATACCCAAGTATTCTGAGTTTCTTGCCAGCCCGAGTTGTCGGGGCCGCGGTTGCTGGTGTGGCCGATAGGCCGTCGTGAAGAAGTGACCGTTCGAGGTACATCAACTTCGCAGGTTAGAGCAGCTTACTTATGGCGGGGCCGGCAACGATTCTGTCTGAGCGGGATTCCTGAGTGTCTTGGTCCGTGGACGACTACGGTACGGCGACGTTCATTTGAGCTTCTGCGAACCCACCTCGGAAACTGGCGGGGCACGTTACCTCTTGACTCTTCAGCTGTACGGTCCCAAGACTTCCTCCCTTCGCAGAGCCACTGTGTTTCGGCCGGGTACGGTCCTTGCAAGCAGACCCCGTGTGTATGGCGCGGGGTGCTCGGCGAGTGCTTGTCTGCGAAACCGAGCGGAGCTGGGACTGGAGGCATCTGAGAGTGGACCGCTTGTGTTGAGCCCATCCGTCGCGGTGGGGTTGGCCAACCTTGCCACCC